AAATGCCATTGTTAGAATTTGTCGATTTATAGAACTCTTTGTGTGTGTGTTTTCCCTTAATAATTAGAAACATCCGTATGGTTCAAGAGTTTGCAGCCAAGCTGACTCTTACGGAACAACATATGATGCAGACTTGAACAAATGTTGCTTAAGAGGTAAGAATCTTAACCTTTTATTATGTCAGAAAAAACAATCTCAATTATACTCCGATTATTCATTTCTTGTCTTATTGGCCCCAGGTTACAGGTTCAGTGTGCTTCAGAAGTCCATAAACATTTACTTCAGGTAATTACTTACTTGATCGTCTTTTCTCATTTTCATGGTTAATAAAGAAAAACGTAAAATTTGGAACGTAATAATAAACTGGTAAATAATTCTGGTTTTTATCTTTTTGAAACAAACCAATTCGGTCTCTCAGACGAATCCAAATGTGATTTGTGATTTGGAAACGTCCGCTTTAGTCCAAAGCCGATATATAAGAAAATCGAGAGAAAACAAATAAATAACTTCAGAAATCCATAATTGAAAAATCATGGTCAACCGGTTTAATCGGTTATGTTTCTTGTCTCAAATCACGTGAAAAGAACCATTCAAATTAATAAAACCGCTTTGTTGGGCCCAATTTGAGAACTCAATGATTTTCTATTAAATTAAAATTAATAAAAATCGTTGCTTCCCTCTTCTTGGCGCACAATCGAAATCAAATGGCGCGTGAAAAAACCTACTCAGTCTGGTATACAAATGGACTAATGAAATGATTTGAGATCTCTTAAAGTCAAAAGTCAAAGCTTCCTTTCGCTAAAAAAAAAAACAAAACAGAGAATCTTCTCTTGAGTTTTTCCACCTCGAGTTCCCTCCATAACACAGAATACCTTTTCAAGTTTCAGAAATTTTGAACCATTCTCAAAAACAAAACAAAACAAAAATCCCTCCACGAAATTGAAAAACCCCACAAAAATGAAAAACTCAAAAAACCAAATCTCAGATCCCATCACTTCCAAATCTGGTCCCTTCATATACACACCCTTCCTTACTTCCTCCTCCTATCCTCAGAATCCCA